GACTCATATATTTCATGGAGGTATGAAATCTCAGAATTCTTGTTTTTGGCATGTTTTTAGGCTTTTTATTGGGGTTTCTCTTTTGTACTGGAATTTTTTCACTCACCCCGGGGCGGGGCAAACCTATGCAGGAAACGTGACATCGACAGTGCTCCTCCCTGGGAACCATCAAGTTATCATTAGGGATATCCATTTTAAGTTCCACTGCAGTGACGTACGGACCCCCTACGAAGCCCAAACTTGCAGTTGACATTGGCCTCAGTAAACTGCTTGGCAAAAATCATGGACGTCGATTTTTTTTTTTATTTACTTCAGAATTCACCTTAAGGTAGTGTATAATGGTGCCTGAGGACTTTGGGGACATCTTAAAAATACTAGTTAGAATTACTTTTGGTCATTGAATTTTTTCATATAAGTACCTTATTGCAAGACAATAATTTATGCAAATTTTTATGACGTCACGATGACGTAATCTGGAGTTATGAGCCACGCCCCCTTTTTAGAAAAATCAATTTTCCTGGCCAGTGCTTTGGTTTTCATTGACCATATTTTGTAGAGAGGCGCACTATAGTGATAGCAAAAAACGTACGTCAGGATTTTTTTTCATCTTTAAATGTTGATTTTTAATGAATTTTTTTCGTAAATTTTAACAGTGCCATACGCCAGCGGCCCTCCCCAGCACATAAAGCGGCGCAGCGTGTCGGCCTGACGTACGTTTTTAGTTTAGAAGCTTATGTTTAAAATAAAACAATTTTTGGTCCCTTTTCATTAGCAGTTTTGCCACAGTTTTGATCTAAAAATGCTGTATATCTCTAATTTTTTCTTGGAAATCCTCCTAAAAATGCACGAAATGCCATTTTAGAAGGTTCATTTTTCAAAATTTTCCGGGGGAGCATGCCCCCGGACCCCCCTAGGAACCTCGCGCCTTCGGCGCTCGCCTCGCGCCTACGGCGCTCGAGGTCCCCTCAAGCAGTGGGGAGAACCCCCCCATTCAAAATCCTGGCTACGGGCATGTATTCCTTAACGGTTCGGATGACTGTGCGCGTCACAGCCCGGCGGTATGGCCTGGTTTTCCCGCCTAGCCTCGTGACCCTCCACAAACACACGGCAGGGGGCCGCATGCCCTTTTCCGCAGAGCGTAATCGGCCGTTTTAATTCTACGTAGAGCGTAGACGGACCGCTCTAATTCAACGTAGAGCGTAATTGGCGCATTTTGTGTAGAGTGTAACTTGCGTTTTAATTCTAGGCAATGCGTTGTTGCCACTTGCAATTTATCGTAGAGCGAAATCGAATTCAGCGTAATACGTAGAGAGAGTTGTCAGGACACCCCCCCCCCCATGCAACCCCCCTTAAAACGGCCGATTACGTTCTACGGAAAAGGGCCCGCAGGCCCCCGTCAAAGCCTGGTTTTCCCGCCTATAGCCTTGTGACCCTCCACAAACACACGGCAGTCCCCGGCTGTTGACACTGATTGCCAATTTGGTACCCAGGGTGCGGGCGCTAGCCTGGTATCCAGTCTGATCCGTGGTCAGGGCCGCAAGAGCTCTGTCCCGCCCGCCTCACATACTAGTAGGTTTCCCGGTGTGTATTTCACGAGAGATTGATTAGCCCTCCCAAATCCCCAAGCATACTCATTAGCGTAACACTCCTACCGGGACGGCCTGTTGCACTGGGCGGGGGAAACTATTAGAGACCCCGAAGACACAGCCTGCCTGAACACCCCAACACCCCCAATCACGTGAGACTGAATACCAGGCTATACGGGCCCGGGATCAGACACCGCGCGTGACGCTATGAGAAGGTGCATTTGGTGCCGGCTGGAACCGCAGACCGCACCTGACCGCATAGTAGGGCGTTTCAGCCGCTTCATTCTGTACATACGTGGTGCGCATACGCAACAAAACTAGTGACGGCTTCTACTTCAATAGACACAAGCTTCGCGAGAGGAGAGAGAGCATGCAGAGCGCCTGTAGTCGTGGTGGGACCAGGGCACGGGAACTGTCACCGAGAAGGCGCGAAGTGGTCGGCGGGCAGCAGACGAGATGAGGCCGCTGGATGTTCTACTCCTCATCGGTGTCGTCCTCGCTTGGGAACTAGCTTTAGCAGACACCAGGGACGGGAGTTACGAGGTACGTCCGTTTACGGCTAAATCCGGTCATAAGGCCAGCCCCCATAGCATGCCAAAAACTGGGGGGTTTGTGGGTCTTCAGGGTCTTTGGGAGCTTTTATGTACTATTTTCTGATTGCATATAGACAACATAGCCGGCCTGGTTGAATTACCCCCGTTTTTAGAACTGGGCTAATCAGAAAACAGCCGAAGACCATGCCACCAAACCCCCAGTTCTATAAGCCTGCTACGGAGGCTATTGAAAGGCCAGCTCCGTGTCATTGCCTTATGGCGAAAGACAAGTCCTAAAACATAAATCCAGAATGAGGCGATTACTCAAACTGTTATGAACAAACGTCCAAGAATGAGGACAACTCTGGTAACATCGTTATTAATCATACCAGTTATGGAAGTATCATTTTTTCTGACCTAATGTTCTCATGCTAGACAAAACTACATGAAAACGACGATTCTATCAGTTTTTTAGTCACAAAATATTGCTTGCTAGAACTTACAGAACGTGAGAATAAAAAACGGCCTGACTGCCAGGATGTCCCTACACTGTGAAAATCGGCGGTAAAACTGCTACTTTAGTGTTTGAAGTTGCATTAGATGACATCCTGGGGCAACATGGACGCCAATTAAACGTATCAGAATGATTTAACAGAGCTCGTTCATAGCTATTCAAACTTTAGCAAGTAGGTATTAAAAGCTATGGGAAAGCTGTAAGTTTAATTGGCCAGTATTTACGATGAAGGCAGTCGATTAAGACCAATTCTGATCTATGTCACACTTGCACTGCAAGTGGGTTTTGCGAACTCAAGTTGGCCACATGCCTTAGAAACTAACCCAACATTCTCAATTAAACTACGGCTACAGAATTACATAATACACTGCAGATATGACGAGTAAAATGCAGGACAGAAACTATAGGCCTATAGGCTATACCCTAAGTATCTTCCAACCTGATGAAATTTGGAGGACAGAAACAACAACAGGTCGTTTTTAAACTTTGTCAACGCAAGCGGAACTGTATTATATACGGTCGCGTACGCACCACGTCACAAGTGGTCTAAACACTATTCAAAACTAAGCATCTTAACACTCAACTTGACGCTGCTTCAACTGTGTTACTATAGACGTCCTTAAAACAGTAGTTTGGTAGACAGACACGAACTCTTTGTCCCTGAAGTACAGAGGATTGATTTTTTGAACAGGTATGGTTTGTTTTGGCTAAGTGAGGGTTTGTATGCGGTCATAACCTTACCCGTTGTTCAGAGATTGTTTCAAGCCTGGTGTGTTGACAAGGGTCTTACGGAAAGTGCTGTGGAAAGAGCCCCCTATACCGTAACCTGCTTGTACTGTAAACTGTGTCTGTGTCTGTGCTATCACGTAATGTCTGTAGTATCTAGTAGCATCAGGTGGAAGTATTACAGGCATACTCTTCAAGCAGAGGTGTGGGGTATTTATGTCTTGTTTGTTTTATGCTTTTTTATCCGGTCCTTTTTGCATTGGGATTTTTATTGGTAGTGTGAAAAAAATTCCAGTGCAATAAAGAAATCCCGATAAAAAAAGCTTGAGAAACACGCCAAAAATAAGTAAAACCCAAATCTCTGCGTTGAGAGTATATGTATGATTGAATGTGTTATTTAAAATTCTTTAAAATTTTTTCCAGTATAGTATAACACACAAGTGTACCAAAATTGGTTCTTCATAACGCACGATATACCTGTCTTTTAAAAGTTGAATGTTTAGAATAAATGTATAATCTTGTCACCACTATATGCATCTATAAACACAATTTTCCTGATACAGAATATTATAATTGCAAACCATAAAATGACGAGACAGCGTGATGACGCGTGACTTGACCTTTCACCTTAAGTGGCAAATCCAGGATGGACACATGTGGTGTGGCCATGTAGGGAAAGTTCGAGGTATGTGTCTGCTATTAGATCCCTTTCACCCTTTCACTATCTATATATGTGACGATAAGTATTTTGAACCATGACGTATGAAGATTTCACATGCATTTTGGCAAAATATTCTCAGTGCAGCAAGCTCAAAATTGAACACCCTAGACAAAACACAATATTTCTTGACATTTCTAGACATTGAAAAGACGGGACAACACACACATACATGCACACACACATATACACGCATGCAGGCACGCATGCACACACACACACACACACACACACACACACACACACACACACACACACACACACACACACACACACACACAACACACACACACACACACACACGCACACACACACACACACACACGTACAAACAATTTAGCCTAAAGTATCATGTTGACAGCCATGAGAAAACAGTCGAAGACCACCAAACCCCCAGTTCTATAAGCCTGCTACGTAGGCTACCTGTCCCCGGGTTGGACGTGACTATGTGTGTGTCTGAGCGCTGACAAACCTAAGCAAGTCCCGTCACAACACTGTGTGCACACATAGGAAGCCAGGGATAACATTCCGACCCGCCAGTCCACTTCCAACATGTAGAGGTAGTTAACAGCGCCGCGAATTCTCCAAATTGTCGAGGAGGCTATTGAAAAATACCAACCCGTCCAGCCTTCTAGCCTCGACTAGAAATGTAGGCCATGTTGTTTTTATGCCAAGGCCGTTGTGGCTCCGTGTAAACATGAAACTTTAGAATTTGTTTTCTTCATTGAACGTTATTTAATTCTTCTTGTACAACGCGTCCCATGTGTGAAAATGACTATTTTAAATTCTAGTGTATGATGTACTATCCATACCGCACTAAAAGCAATAATTCATATTAAACAAAAGTTCCACCTTTATACTGTATATTATTCTTCATCAAGAATAAAAGTCAAACCCTTCAGAGATAGTTATATACGTAGCTATAGTTTTAGACAATTACCTCGTGTTATTATGTAGATTATGAAGTCATTTTGCCTGACCCTGTTTCAATGTACTTTTATCTTTGTTATTTGCAATTAGCCTTCGGGCAGGGATTTGAAATAAACATATTCTTAGTCACATACTAGTCTAGTTAGAGGTACAAGGAAAGATTTTTCTTTCTCGTCCTTTCAAGATGACACATGTCACGTTGCGACGGTTTCAGTTGACTGTCAGATTCCGTCACAGTTTTGTGTGTGACAACACTGCGACACTCCCGTCAGCCATTGCGGCTTCAGTGTCAGTCAAAGTTGGACTGTGTCTTGTTTTCTTTTTTTTAGACATTATTTTTCTTTATTCATCAAAACATAAAAGACATAACAAGGACAGTGTGGCGCTGCACTCAAGTTAACAACTTATATTAACAGCGCCACACAACAAAAAGGTACAATTAACATCAAATATACAAAGTTGACATATCTGTGCGCCGTAGTCCCACCACCCCAAGACATTAAAATGTTAAATTAAAATGCTAACAGAGCTATTTGAAAGATAAGATTACATGGTAACCTCCTATATCTCATTGGCGGAAAAACATCCGTCAATCAGAGCTAGGAGGGGAATTTAGGCCCGTTAACACTTACGTAGTATTTAGACTTCTATATCTAATTGACATTATTTTTTTCGGACAGTCTTTGCTTTCTGTGTTTTTTCTTAATTTTCATTTCTGATGTACTATGTTGTTAGTAAAAATACTAGATAAACAACAAAAACTTTATTCTATGCCCAACAGAGAGGAACTATTTGGTTAGATTTCAAGGTCAAAGTCATGTTGTTAGCCCCATACACATATACAGGTATACTATAGGGCACAGTTTTTCCATGACGACTTTAAAATTTGTGCAATGGACGCCATCTCGAAAAGTATCAATGTTAAAAACCAGATCTACTTCTTTGAGACATCATCTACAGGCATTCGGGTGAAACTCTACTACATGATCTCTGTACTTTTACAGGATGCGAATGTATGTGACGCGATGAAAACTTCAACTCCCACCCCCACCCAAATTACAAATAAACACTT